CAAGAATTGACAATAACATTATTCGCAACATCAGACAGGAACTCACATCAAACATAGCAGTAAACAATATGTGAAACAAGATTCTCATGGGAGGCATTAGCAAAACTATCTTAAAGATCATCAGTAAATACATCAAAATCAACAAAATAGTAGAAACTGTCAATAGAATCTGCAACTAAAGATGGGTCCTTAAAGGGGGAGCAGGGACATAAGTCAAATGTTCCTTACTAGGAAACATTAAAATTTTTAAATTAATAATTATAAAAAAACTACCCACAATTATTTTCTATTATCCAAATCATTGATTTATAATATTTCCTGACTTTTGTCCCTATTAAAGTGAAGAGCTATGAATTTTGTCCCTCAAAAAGGGACATAAGTGATCTGCAAAATTTTATATGCTAAATACTTTAGAGATCCATCATTATCTGCAACACCATCAGATTCTGGATCTATAATATCTGGATCGATAGGTGCGAGCACCTACACTATTGGAAAAAACTTCAAGAATATCAACTGGGAAAAATAAAAAGAATTATAAACAATCTTCTAACAAAACAAGATCCAGAAACTCTATATTCAACAAAATAGATGCATACTTTACAGAACTCATATCCAACATCCTTCGCAAAACTTACACATCTTTAAAATCTATAAGAAACATGCTAACAGCACCTAAGCACATTAGTTCTCAACAGAAAAAATATGTCACAAGGGTTCAAAGGCAAAGCCCTATCACCGATGACAGTGGATACCCACTAGATCAGGTAACAATTAGTTTTATTATAATTATATACATTAGATACATAGGAAAAATATATGTAATATAATCTTTACTTGACAAAGTAATATGTAATTATACATAAACTTAATAAAATCATATTTTCTCAACTCTTTCCCATAGATCCCTGACCACCATTTTCAAAGAAGCGTTTCTCCAAAACTTTATGTTTTGTGAGTAATAAAACTTCAAAACTCTCTCTAAAAACACCTGCCCCACTTGGCAGTAGTCATATTACACCCTTCTTATTTACTTTTCCTCTTCACAAACCCCCTACCTAAGAAGTTAATGGCAAGAAAGCTTTTCTAGAAAGAAGAAACCAGATGAAAAAGTATCTTCCCTCCCTTCCCTATAGAGGTCCCAAAGTCTAGTAAGAAGTTTGGGCCATCAACTCCATGCCAGCAAGTAGATAGACATCAATACTACAGGCAAAAACAGTTTTTCTCTTAGCGTGTAGCAGTTTTCTTGGTTTTTCTAGGGAATTTTGCCTACCCTAGCTTGGCCCTGAATTTTCTGTTACACCTGATTCTGGACAGATTGATTGGCTGAAGTTTGGGAATAGTTGCCCATGGTTAGCAGAAATGTAAACAAGAATACACATGACATGAGACGTGAATACATTTATTAAGCTCCATAAGAACCTTAGATTCATCATAAGTCACTAGCTAGTTGTGCAGGTGAATAAACATCACATGGACTGTGATCTCCTCTCTCTCATTAACTTCGAAAGTGTCAAGGCTATGGACTGAGTATTTTCTGAGGCAAAGTTGGGTAGATAAGTAGTTGTTAGGTGTCCTTTTATTCCTTCCCTTAATTCATTTTCTTGTAAATATTTTCAACCTTTCCCCTCTGTTTTAATTTTATTTTTAACACTGACTAGTCGCAAGACTAGTACAAAAGACCTCCAACATCGGATGGTGTTGGGACTCTTGTACGAGTCCTGACATATTAGGCCCTGCAGTGGGTGGCAACAAGCCAATCGGTGGGTGCATTAGTATACTCTAGATAGCATCGATTCCTAAATATGGGGATGGGTGAACAATGCATAGCTTGTGTATCTCGTTTGTCCCCCACTTTGTTTTTAAAAGAGAAGTATTTACACTAGGCGGTTATGTATTTTTCTTATCCTGGTTGGGCTAGACATAGATCGAGTCATAAAAATTGATAGCTCCCTATTCTATTTCTCTCTAGTGATCTGTAAATCCTTAGACAGTACGGGAAAGTATTCATCCTGATTGTTACTAAATATGATCTTTTATTAATAAAGTACTGGAAAAGGTGTGGGATGAGCCAGTTTTAATAATAATAATACTTTGGTTTTGTCTTCTATTTTTCCTGAAATATTGGTTGCCATTGCACCTAATCTATAAATTCATTTTTTTTTTATAAAATATGGATTTGTTGATAGCATCATGTCTCTATTCCTAGTAATATAAAAGTTATGTTCACTAATATATTGTCTTTTGACTGTTTCTTAGAGTTCCTGTAATTTCAACTCTTCTGTCTCCTGTATATATGTCATTATTACTTTATTATCTACTATTAATTCATTATCCACTTGTTTGATAATTTCTATTGATTGTCACTCTAGTTTAATATGGTTTATAGGATTTTTGATAATTTCTATAAACTTGTCTTTGATATAGAATTGTAGAAGATCTTCTTTTATTCCTTTACCTTGTTGCCAAAGATATATGATATGCTGAGTTAAAATTATTTTCTTGTGAAAGGTTGTCATATCAACTCCTAATATCTTAGCTATAATGTTATCTAAAATTATATATATATTTGATAATGAGATATTGATCCATTAGGTTCACTATTTCTTAGTTGTAATAATTGTTATGAGGCACATAGGATAGAGTGTTTGTCATATTTTTTTGAGAGGTTGATTAGAATATTTACTATATTTTCTTCTCTCTTATTGACTATTTATAATATATATTATGCTCTATTCATATTTATTGACTCAACTCTATTGATAAATCATGTAAATACTTATTTATATTTATTGATGATCTATTTTTAGGTTACGGATAAACTTTTTGAGATTGTTATTGTTTATATATTTCAATTAGATAATATAAAAAAACCTTATTTGTAATTTTGATATATTTATGTATTGAATATCAATCAACTTGTTTATATAAAAAGTTATATATATATGTACATGTTTTGCTTGTTGCTTTTATATATATATTTGTTTTGCTTATTTGCTTTTTATGTGTTCATATTCACATGATAAGATAAGTGATAAATATATTGTTTATGTATATACAGTATATACATTTAGGCTGTCTTGTCTTTAGGGAACTTTAATATCCTTCTAGGTCTTTGAATAACTGGAGCAACTTAATTTATTTAGTGGGCTTGGTTACTTTTTGGGTTTCTTACAATATCAAGAAAGGTGTTAACTTATACTAGCCTGGTTGTAAGCTATATGAAGTTGAAATTAAATTTCTTTTTCTGACTGTAAATCAGTTTACAGGTCTCTTTTCTTTTTCCTAAAATTTTTAAGAAAAAGAAATAAAAGAAAATTAATAAAGCAATGTATATCTCTTTCCTTGATGTTTTTGGATAATTTGTTATATATATATTAAAAATGCTTGATAGCTTGGTTTAAAAGATATATTGTTTTTTTTTATATGTTTAAACTGGTTCACTTTTTTCAAAAAAATTACCAAAAAGAAAATGTTTTAAAAAAAATAATGATCTACAGAAAAAGTTTAAAAGGTTCATTAATTTAATAACTTATTATTTTTTAAAATAATATATAATAATAAACTATTAATAAAATTTTATATTAGTTTATTAGATAAATAAGATATTATTTTTTAAATTTAAGTTAAAGTATCTAGCTCAAATTTTATTTATTTTATTTTTATTTTTTATTTTTTATAAGAATTAATAGATTTAATTTATTGAATTTATTAATATTAATAAAGTTTTTTATAAAGTCAATTGATATATATATTGAATTATATTAAGAACATTTTTATTTTTATTTTTTTTTTATATATATTTTTGTAATTCAAATATTTTTATTGGGTATATTAATACTTCTAATAAACTCATTTTTTTAATATAATACTAGCTTCATATAATATATTATTGAAAAAAAATTATATTATTTTATATATTATATTTGAATTATTTTATCAAATAACTATATTATATTTAATATTTGGATTTAAATTTTATTTTTATATTTCTATTTTATTGAGTATTTTTTATATTACTTATAATAGTATATCTATAAAATATTTATTTAGAATCTTATATATTATTTTATCTCATTAAACCATTATTTTTATATGACTTATTATAGTTTGCTTATAAAATAACAATATAAAGTCTTGAATAAATACACTTTGATAATAATTCTTCTTCTAATCTAATATGCCTAGATACTATTAAATCATTATTTTTTTAATATATAAATATTTAATTATTGTTTTGTAATAAGATAGCTTTAGTACTAAAAATGATTGAAATATCATATAATCTTTTGATTTTTCATGATTGTATAAAGTTTTAATTAAAAATAATTGAATTATTATTATAGAACAAATAAAAAATTTTTGTATTACTTAAACTTAGATAGTATTATTTTGTAATAATATTGAACTTAAAAATAGTACTGATAATTTAAAAGTATTATTACTATATTATTGATTCACAAATAATATTTTGTTTTATTTAATTAAACTAACTCAATAGACTTTTATATTTTTTAAGTAATAAAATTCTTTGATTAATGTTTTTTGAATCTTAATAAAAAATACTATAATGATATAATTGTATATTTAAAGAAAAAATCCTCAAATAAATTTTCTAGAAACAAAATCTTTGTTATAATATTATACGTTGAATATTACTTATTTTATAAATAATATCATCTTATTATAAAAAAAATTCTGATCAAAAAAAAATTTTTTTTTTTTATTATGAAAAATTCAAGTCTTTTCTTAATTGCTTTTAATTTGAAACCATTCAAACCAAACAAATAATCCAAGTAAATAAAGAAATTCTTTTATATTAATAAAATTTTTACAACTTTGTTAATACAAAAGTATATGATTTTATAAAAATACATACCAAATTTATTTTGTTTTTCAGGTTTATCGGATCCATCGCATAAATTACATAAAATTTTAAATTTTAGAAAACTTGCCTGACATGTAAAACGATCTGTACTTATATTTTCTTATTGTGCTATCTAGCAGATGTCTGAAATATGTTTGGCACGCAGAAGCTTCTTTATCCATTCCTTCAAAAAGGTAAGTATCGAGCCATACTCAAACCATCCTTAGTAAACGCATTCATCCTTTACTTTATACACATATCGTTCCTCATCGAGGAGTGTTAAAAACTCTTCATTCACCAATGTCATCAACGACCGCATGAATAAAGAAGTTAGTTGTTCTGGAGTGGACTCTTTACAATTGTGCTATTTGACGAGCAATTAAAACTGTGAACAACACAAGAGAAACAGTAATAACCAGAAGAGTAAGGCAAGTCCTAACCTGATTTCTTAACACCAACACGGCGTATTCAGTTAGCACTAAAGACTGTCGGATCGATGAAAATTCGAAATGAAATAATTTCTTTTCATAAATGTATCTAACAATAACATTTATGAATACATCCTCAGTAATTTGGGATGAGTTTAGTAAAGAGAAGTCGATATTTTGATTTTCGGTAAGCCGATGAAATACATTTGGAAGGAATGAAAAATCTCCATATGCTGAGAGGCTATTTACAGATATGAGAGAATAAGATAAGTCATCTTCAATTATACCGGTAGAAGATGATGAGCCATCTGATTTAATAACGACTGATGGTGATCTAGTGTTGGGCACAACAGAAGTTGGATTCGATTCGGTTTGATTTGAGGAAGAATATGATTTTGAAAGGCCTTCATTTAGCAACGTACTAGGTTGTGAAGTTAATTGTGGTGCGAGTGATAATGCTTGATGCTTTGATACCAAATCTGTGGATGGATTTGTAGACAACATTTTGTTGAGATGAAATCGAGGTGAGTCTAATCGTGATGATATCGACAGAAGATTCGAACCATCGCCCACGTTTTCGCCAGTCGAGTATTTTCGAAGCTATATTAGCATTATATACAGTATATATATATATATGTGCGATAAGTCACTCTCAATGTTTAAATGTGAAAGATGATATTTGGCACAATCTCAGCGTAGGTTCGGATTTCTAGATGCATTACTTTCATTTCGCGACATATTATCGAAAATTTTGTTGATATTGAGCTTTTAACGTTACTACTTTTCTCAAATTATTTATGACTCCTTGTACTTACCGATTTTTCAAGAATGCTTTCAGAAACTATAAATGGTTTACAGTAATATTCTTCTTTCAGTTTAATTATCTCTGCCCATCTGAGCAATTCCTTGTTAGGATCATCTATCTTCCCTATTAATCGACGAAATTTCGTTTAATTAATAATATGATAAATTGCTCGACTGAGCACAAGATTATAAAATAAAAGTTAGGATCGCCTACAAATATTCTCGCGTCTAAATTTAACACCAACTTTTCCTCGAAAAACATTGATTTCGCCAATTATTTTAACTAATGTTCCATGTACGATTGACATATTTTTGATCCATTCATCTCGATCGGTCAAAGTTTCAAAGAACACCGTGCATTGAATTGACGCAGATCCATCGTCGACTTTAGAGGATGAAAGGATTAGTGTTCGTGTCAACAAAATAAATGTGAAAGATAAAATACTTGCTTGTATATTTTAGTATGTAGTGCATTTTTAAGTCGTTAGTAATCTCGTCGATCACGACTACGACACCCATTACATCAACTTGATTCACCTGATGATTTAAATAAAACAAGCCACTCTTATCTACACGACAACGATAGAACGGATATTATAAGATTAGCTAATTACGTGATGTGGAAAAAAAGATAAAGTGCATACCTCCAGAATGAAATACTTTTAGATTATTATAGTCCTTGTTAAATAATTTCACGTTGGCCTGCGAGATCGGATCTAGTTTCCAAAACTCGTATGGATATATATGCGCTATGCTCTTTGGTGATTCAACATCGACATCGACTATCATTGCATCTTCAACTTCTTTATTTTCCCGCGTGTTACTGACTACAAGATTTCGAATTCTTGAGATCTCTTCAATATCTTCTACATCATATCTTTTCGTGTTTTTTCCCTTCGAGTAAGGCATGTTTATTGTGACGCAAGATGCAATCATGTGATTCAAAGCACTCCAAATACGTGTTCAGAAGGATCACATGAATTTTCGAATGTTTTTTAAAATTAAAAATGAGTTACATAACGTGGAAAATCAATTGTTTCTTTCCTAAATACATAAATGTTTCTGATTAAATTAGTATATAAAATTTCCTATGATAAGAGTAATGAATAATCTCCTAACACATTCATATGCAAGTTAATTAATTTCACAATCAAGTCAAGTGAACCTCAACTCCAATTTTTTTTTCATATTTAGCCTCCCATTTAGCAACTCTCCAGTCTTCTTCATCTTTTAGCGTAATAATATCACCCGCTCCATTTTTATAGGTAACGCGTTCATCATTAAGCTGGAGACGAAAGCGACGTGAGATCAATTCTAATAATGTCTTGAGGGTAATATTACTAGGAACGACCATACTCCCGCGTTCAACGAAAAGAACACAGGTTATGTATATCTGACAAATAATTAGAAGTTAGTCATGTTCACGATCAATTCAAAATTTTAGAAAGCGTAAAAGAGTCAACCTCATCAGATAAATCGGATTGAGGGTTCTATCAAACGAAAGGATATTCGTTAGCAATATACTTAGGAGAAACTAGACCGTAAATTTTCTAAATAACTTTTACATTATTCTTCAAAACACGAGTTTGCTTTTCTACCCTATATTTCGCAATTCCGGCTTCAACAGCAATTAAATTATTTAAAGTGACATAATTAATCGGTGTGAAAATCAAAGATTTCGCATTCTCCAATAACCCATTAGTAGGATCTCCTTTAGTTTTAGCGCCGTCGTAATAGTACTATATTTATAAAGAATATATAATAAAACGTTAAGAAAAGTTGACATTTATCCTCTGAAATAATACTTACTGATCTTTCAAAATTGTCACGGAATAGGATTTCCATTTCTTTATATTCTGTGACTCTAAAACCGATCACCTAAGATCCAACACTGATTATTATGTAGACTATATTTCAACAAGATCAAATTATCATACCTCATCGAGAGGAATAATAACTTTATCCTTCATCTCATTCAAACATAATTGGATATCTTGTCTAACGTATTCTAAAATTAAAGCGAGTCTTTTGTCGGTGCGTATGTCTAAAGATGCTCCGGTAGGGAAAATCTCAATTCTTTTCAAGTCGACGCGAATTTCATTCGCTCGTTTGTTACCAAGAGATACTGGTGGCAAAGATCCTAATAGCGTAAATTACTGGGCCGAATGAGAAAAATGAAATAAATTCTATTAAAGACATTTGATGAATTTAACCTGATCGGTCTATTGAGTAAGTTAAAGTACAATCCTCCATTGTTAATATTACGATTTAAATTGATGTCCGCTTTTAATCATTGTTTCCACAATAGTCAATCATGATAATCTCTTATCTTTCTATCAGACGGTAACGTTGTTTATTCGCGATAACTACCTACAATTAGCGACACGGTTCATTTACCAGTCTGTCTTTAATCTTAAAATTACACTTAAAATCCGGCGAACAATTAATTGCCTTTCATTTAATGTAAACGTTATTAATTCTATTTATTATAACAAAAATTAATAAATAATATATACTGTACACTAATTTTATATTAAAAAATAATAATAATAATAATAAACAATATATTCATTAATTTTTTATAAAAAAAAATAAAAAATAAATAGTATATTCATTGATTTTTATAAAAAAAATATTGAAATTATTATAATCATGTTTTTGTTATATTATAAATTTCAACTTTAATAAATTTTAAATTCACGATAATATATTTAAAATTTTTAAAATTTATAGTATTTTTATTTTTTATTTTTACAAATCCTTTGTTAGAATAATTGCTATATACTGTATATACTTTATTAAATATTTGTAAACTATATAGTCATAATAAAAAGTAACATCCAAAAAAATTTTTAATACATTTTATTCTATTTATATAATTTTTATTTATAAACAATTTTTTTTTTTTTTTTTTTAGATAATTAATATTTGATTAATATTTTATTTAATTCTAATATGATCTGAATTCTTTTTAATATAATATTTATAACTCTTCTTAAAATAATATATCAAATTTTAATCATTTTTTCTTTAGGGTAACCTTGTAATTCTTGAAAATTTTTTATATATTTTTTAATATTGTCTTTTAGTAATTTTTAAATATTTTCAATAAGGTTTAGATCAGATAAGCTTATTGGTCAATTTAAAATTAAAAAAAAAATTTTTTTTTAACCATTCTTTAATGATCTTTATTATATATATTGATATATTATTTTGCTAAAATATAATATTTTATTTAACAATAAATGTATTGAATTATAGAATAAATCAAAATTATTATTAAGAATTTTTAAATAAATTTTAAAAATAATTTTTTTTGTATATACTGTATATCAAAAAGTATTAAGGAAACTTTAATTTTATATATAAACTATTTTCGTATTATAACTAAGTATCAATTATTTTTAAATTAAAAATTAAGTTCTCAATATTATATTTTTTGTTTTTATATTATCAAACTTTAATTTATCTAAACTATTTTTTAAGCTTTATACTTATTTTATCAAAAAAAAATAATTTTTTTTTTTTTTATATGACTTTCTGTCAGACTAGTTATGTGTGCTTTATTAAACAATTGTAAGTTGTATATTATATATATGACGCTAAAGTTAAATCTCTAACTCACTCACTTGTCAAAGTCTTATATTTATCTAGGACTCTAAATGCAACTTTGGGAGTGATTTATCGCTTTGTTAATAGTTCAGGTGAAAACTCTTCCAACTTCTAACATCATCGCCCACAGGTCACTACTGCGTATCACTATATGATCTTCTGACAAGAATCAAAACCCCAATCACTTTATCCCATATCTAATCCCGTTTCTTACAATTTCTATAAGATTCTTGTTTTCACTCTCTTTCACTTCTTCTCTTTGTCTTATACTTGTATTATCAGGATTATCTTGCGGATCTTGCCTTCTTGCTTCCTGGACCTTCTTATATTTTGCTCTTCTATCAATTCTTTATTCTTGTTCTTATTCAATAATCTTTTCACATCTCACGTTTCAAACTTGTTTTCGAATCTGGTTGCAAACCTTCTTTTGTACTTTTGGAATCCATTTTTTTGCCATTGTTCCTAGCTTCTTTCCATAACAGTTTAGATTAGCAGCTTCTCCAATTGCATTGCTTTTTATTAATCCTGTGCAAAAGTTAAGAGTGTTTGAACCGGTTTGCGAGACTAATTCTATTAGTCTGAAGGCCTATTTATCCAATTCACCTTTTTCTTGTCTATTGTCAACTGCTAGTTATATCATTTTTTCATCTGCTTCTATCTTACGTTCTTGATACAACTTATCAAATTCTTTGAGAAAAGTTTTCAATCCTTTTTGTCATGCTGCCAGGGTCTCAATCTTATGATCAGGACATTCTAATAAGTGTTCTATTGTTTTTTAATGCTGATTACATATTATATATTTTGTTCACTGGTATAAATCTGGTCTTCTTATTACTAGCTTGCTTAAAGTATATAATTCATCATTGGTCAATTTAATCAGAAAACTTCTTCTTTGCGAACTTTTGAAAGAGGTATCCCATGTATTTCCATCTTTTATCCTATCCCATGTCAGATCTCTTGAGTAGGTTTGATGCTTGTGAACTTGGTGATGCCATTTTGTTTCTGTCCTGTATTGTTGTGTCCATGATAGAGCCATTGACCTTTTATTAATTTGCTTGATGAACTGTCGTATTGGACTGTCTACTATTTCTTCTTGCCACATAGTTTTTGTGAATATCTTGCTTGATTTGAGACTCTTCTATTCTATCGCTGGTAGCTTTAATGTCTCTTTGGCCAATCGATCTGCTTCTTTATTCCATGGATTATTAGAGTGGGCTTTAACCCTGATCAAAGTTAGTTGGATATGCTTTTTCTTTATAAGATCTAATATCCTCGCCCATAATGACCAATTCTTTTCTTTTAACTATCTTTTGTGCATCATCTTTGGATCTTTTTTCTTTAGCTTTTTCCATTTAGAGATGCAGACTTGACTATCTGTAAAGATCTCAACAGTACTATCTATCAGAGCTACTAAAGCTATTGTGACCAGTGCCACCAGTTCTGCCCTTGTGGACGAGGACCAGTTTTTGACTTCTGTCTGGAATTTACTTCCTTTTCTAGCTCCTTCTATTTGTATCTATGCTACACCCATTTTTTGTATTCTCACTTCTATGGTCAATTAAGGATCCGTCGGAGTAGAAGATCAGCTTCTCCTATGATCCTTGATTACGTTAAAGAATTTTAAATAGGTGGTCTTGATATATTCCTTGCTTAACATTATCTCTGAATATTTCTTGTTCCCAGTTTTCTATTAATATGTGTTTCATTTTTTCTATTTGATCATTTGTCAGATCTTGGATTTCTTGGATTATACTTTTGATCACTATACTATCTAGTTCCAATAGTGAATAGGAAACTTTTAATAATTGTGCTCTTCTAGTATTTTTTTTATGGTTTACAAATAGTATAGTATGGACTGAATCTAATTCTATTTTTATATTACATTCATTTCCATTTCTATTGTTTAGTGAATATCCTGCACATTTGGTAAGCACTGTTTCTAGACCATCTTCTGTTTCCTGGTAATTGAAATAATGAAATATTATAGTACCTTGGCTGTTTTCCTACATCATTTTTCCCATACTATTTGTTGATTCTCTTTCTGGACAACTATCCAAGTTTTCTTTTGTTTATCTCTGCCAGGTTCAGGTTTAGTACATTTTGGTAACCACTTTTCTTCCTATCCCTTTTTCCAAAATGTTGTAAGGTCTTCTATACTTTTTTTCACTATAGTTTTTTGTAAAGTATTATACCATTCTGGGATAGAACCTTTGCTAGTATGCTGGATAAGTTGAATCATTCTCCAGTTTCTAAACTTTGTGGTATTTTGATTAAGCAGCTGATCTATGTACATCAATCTGTTATTTCGTAAAGATGGTATTGCCTTTCTATTTTCTTCTACTGTTAGATATTCTTGAATTGGACTATTGCCTCTAGTCCACTCAAAAATATCATTACGTTTTCAACTTTGGAAAGTTAATCCTAGGTCTTTAATTAACTTTAGAACTTGCAATATGAAATTTTTTTTATTATTGAGGTGATCTAGGGATTTACATGAAAGAAGATTGTAAGGCTCCTAGTGCTTAATTTGTGCTTGTTTTAATCTTATAATTGTCGTAAGCCCTGCTGGACCTTAATCATTTATTCTATTATAAAGTTCAGTTATTTGGCATTCTTTTTGGAGCATCCATATACTTTTAAGATTGTGTATCTTTGGATGGTGAATCACGCTGTTAGGAATAGATCTACATAAGGGAACTTTATTCTTGAAAAGCTTATGATATGCTACTGTCAAGTTATTGCATATTTTCCAAGACAATATACTGTGCTGCATTCTAAACTCTATCCTTGGAATAAATACTCTATTTAGTATATAAAGGGCTTGTTTATCAGTTATTTTCTTGTTTTTGAGAACTCTTGTAACAGTATTGATTTCTTTTAAGATCCTTTCTTTGAGTTCGATTGTAGTTTTCTGGTTGCCTGTCCATATTCCTAGAAATCTTACTTGCTCTTTTCTATCTAACTTTCTAACCACTTCTTTATTGATTCCTGCATGAACTTTTTCTGGATATTGATTAGAATTATTGATAGTAATCAAAACTAACTTGTTGCTGTTGATCTGAGAGTCATTTACTTTGTAAAAGATCCTTGCTGTTTTTAGGATCTTTTTCATATCTTCTTTGGATTTTGCTATCCATATGGTATTATCCATAAAAGTTATGGCTGCATGTCTTGATTCTAGCTTATTAGTAGTAATATTATTTAGATCGGGATTCCATGAGACTTCCATTTTGTATTCCTGTTTTATGTCTTCTTGGATTTTGTACAACAAAGGGTCATAGAAAATTCTCCACATTAGTAGGGAAATGGTTTCGCCTTGATCTATTTCATCTCCTGCCCTTATTGGTTCCATGAGATCATTCTCAAATATTACTTTAAACTCTCTATTTTGGAACAGGCTCATCATGATCTTGATAAAACCTTTGGGCATCTTGATCCTTTCCATTGCTTTAACTAGCATTTTTAGGCTAATGGTATCATATGCCTTGGCTGTGTCTTGAAAGAATATCTACAGCTCTTTTTTTATTCTCTCTTGCGTCTTCACAGATGTTGTTAAGAATTTGAATAGGTTCTGCTGTATTCTCTTCTGGCAATTCTACGTAGTTAGGACCTCTAAGAATATTGTTGATCTTGCAAATGTT